CTCTGCCCAGCCCAGGGAACTGGGGTCACAAACATGCACAATCACCCTGTTTCCTGTAGGCACTGGAGATCCAATTCGGGCCTTCACGCTTAGGTGGCAAACACTTTACCAATAAGCCATCTTCCAGCCTTCACCCGTCTTGCATGTGTGCGCACGTGCGTGCGTGCATGTGTGTGTGTGTGTGTGTGTGTGTGTGTGTGTGTGTGTGTGTGCGCGCGCGCGCACGTGCACGCATGTGCTACTGAGAACCAAGCTAAGGGCCTCCTGTCCTCCAGGCATGCACTCTTAACACTGAGCTGCACACCCGCCCCATGTCCTGACAGTTCCTGACAAGTCTAAAAGATGAAGTCCCCCGTAAGTTACACCCAGCACCCCCAGAGCCAGCAGAGGCAGAACCCTTGACCTACACACCCTGTCCCCTTTCTCCTCCCAGTTAACCCCACAGCCCCAGGTTTCTGACCACGCATGCCCACATCCAGCCATCACCAGAGCCTGGCTGACACCAGGCCGGTTGCCTGAGTGCCGTGGCCCAGTTTTGCTGCCTGTAAAATGAGTATAGTAACCCTACCACCTATGCTCCAGGGTGTCACCGCAGACTAAATAGGTCACTGAGGAGAGCTCACAGTGTCACTCCTGGGACAGCACATGTGCTCACTGAAAGCCTGAGACCCTCACCTCCTACTTCCTCCCTTTGGGAAGCAATGGTTTCTCTAACATGCTGGGGGTCTCTACGCTCTGCCTAGATGTGAAAGAAATGTCTCACAGGGACATTGTCTTCTAAGAGAGACGCAAGGCACAACCCTCCTCCCTGAGTGTTTTCTTTTTGGGGGAGAGGAGGTTCAGCCCATGCCATGGCTCCATCACTGTAGTATCTGCAGCTGGACCCTGCTGTCTCTCTTCTGCTCACCTTAGATGTGTCATCCTGGGGTCACCACAACCACAGCAGTCCCCAGGCAGGTCACACAGCCACAGGCAGCCCACGGATGCCCTTGACTGTGCAATCTATAAAGTTTTGACTAAACTACTAATGCCACACAAGGGGCCAGGTACAGAGGAGAGGACAGAGGCAGGATGATACAGGGGTGGCGTCTCACAGGGACTCAGCATTCGCAAGCTGCCCCACCCCGCCTCGCCCCGCCCTTCTGATAAAAAGTCTCATACAAGCTGCCTCCCACGTACACAGAAAATGAAGAGGAGTCTACATGGACGGACAGGATGACCTCACCTTACACAGTCGGATGGCAAACAAGGATCTCAGCTAGTTAGCCCAACCAGGAAGAAGTGCCATGGGATGCATGTGGGGGTCACAGGACAGTCACTGGAACTCAGGCTGTCAGGCTTAGCCACAAGCCCCTGCCAAGCCATCTCACCAGCCCTCACTTTTCTTTTTATTGGGTTTGTCATTTGGGTCATCTCTGTGGGGACAGAGATTAAGAAGCTTATGAACAAATAGTCCCCAGCCACCTCGGGGCAACCCACCCCCAGGCTCTACTTCTTCTGGAGTCTCAGTCAGGGGAGCCCATCCACTCCTCTCTCCCATACAGCTGAACCCCTACCCCCACACCCAGGGTTCCATGAGCCTCCGCAGATTCTACCCACACACCAATTCTACCCTGACAAATGACCATCAGCAGGACCCACTTCCTGTCACACATCTAAAAAGGAAGCTGGGAGTCCTGAGCTCAAAAATTTATCACAGAAGACCACACAGAGGACTGCCTGAGGGGCGCTATGCCCCAGCCTCACCAGGAAGGGGAACCCAGCTGGCTTTTCTCCCCTCTCCTGTAGGGATTCAGAGTGAGTGACAGACTGAAATTCCACAGCCTGACAGGAGGAGCCACCTGGACAGGAGTCTTAGCCCACAAAACTGAGACGAGGGGGCAGCCAGGTTAGATGGCAAAGTTCTGAGAGGGCCCCGTGCGTTCTCCAGAATTCTTGAATCTGCATCCGAATGTGGTAGGGTTGCAGGTGTGCCCACCACGTCCATTTACGCCGTGCTGAGGCTGGAGCCCCGGGCTTCCTGCCTGCAAAGTGAGCGACCCCACCGAAGGAGCCACCTCCCCAGCCATAAAGACTCCCAGCTAAAATCTGCTTCCCATGCTAAAACCCGGGGTGTCCCACACTTCATTTTACAGTGAACACAGTCTAATCAATAAAGTTTTAAAGAATAATCCACCTAGTATCTTTTGAAGAAAATGAACAGACTCCAGCCTCTGTAAGCTTGGGCTTACAGAGTCATGTTGGGCTTTCAGAGTCACAGGGCCAGAAGAGGTATGTGAACTTTGGGTGCAGAATGGCAAGCTTCCTCTGGACTCAATATCCAGCCCCCTCCCTTTCTGGAACTTTCCATGGCCCAGCCCTGGATGAGTGGTGTAAAAGCCCTGTTGAGCCCTGGAGTACAGGCCTCTGTGATCCCGGAAGAGAGAAGAGGTTTCCTCTATCTCTCTCTTGATCCCAACCACTATCATATCTGCTCCTATTTCTGAGGCCAAGCTGACTTCTCACATGGCCTCCCAGCCACAAGCCTCAGCCAACCGAACTCAGTGGTGGCATGATTCTCCGGCCAGAGTCAGCCAGAATCTTCAGGGGAGCAGGACTTGGGCTCCAGTGAGCTGGCAAGAGGATCAGAGCTGACTGACGTCACAGTAGGTGTTGCCATGAGGAGAGAATGTAGCCAGGGGCATGGGCACCAGCTGTCTCTGGGAGTGGGAAGTCAGGCTGAGCCAGCCACGGACATGCGGGTGACAAGAAAGCCCTTGAAGCAACTAAACAGCAACGACCTTGCCCAGGTTTTGAGACCTCACCCTGACACAGATAGAATGGGGTCTCCTGCATGGTGTTTCCAAATCGTCCATCTTTGTGTCAAGTGTTGCTGTGTGTCTGTCAAACTCAGAACCCAGAACCTTGCCTGGCCCGTAGCAGATGCTCAGTAAACATACATTAAGTGACCAGTACATGTGCCAACATGCACAGAGCCCTTTGAAGGGGTCACCCAACTCCCTTCTTCCTCTCAGCTCCTGCTCCACATGGGCAGTGAGAACCTGAGTTTTCTGTCTTCTTCCTGCCCACCCCCACTCCCAGCCCCTCCCACTACGGCCTGGGCCCCTTGTGTCCCAGCTGCACCAGCCTCTCTGTCCCTCTCAAGTGCCCTTCCTCCTGGGCTCCTGGGCACAAGCTGTCCCCAACCCCCAGTGTCCTGTGTACTCAGCCCCAGCCCCTTCCTCAGAGAACTCCATTGACCTCTGCCCCCTCCGCAGCCACTCCTGTTTTACAGTCTTCCCCTCACAAAAGAAGCACACGACTCCTTGCTCTTCCTGGATTCAGAGCCACGCCAGCAGATGGAACCCCCACCCCTATCCCCAGCCGATAGGACAGACTTTAGCCTCCCTGGCTGCTACAGCTGGAATCCATGGGAGAGATGTCAGAGAGAAGGCAGTCTCTTGTGAACCTCAAGGCCGTGGCCAAGGGCTGTGCAAACACAGGGGTGACTGTGATGGGGACAGCTGCAGCTGGAGTCCATGGGAGAGATGTCAGAGAGAAGGCAGTCTCTTGTGAACCTCAAGGCCCTGGCCAAGGGCTGTGCAAACACAGGGGTGACTGTGATGGGGACAGCCAGGATCTTAAGAGGCCGCAAGTGGAATATGACTGGCAACTTAGCTCTCCCGCTCACCCAGTGGAGCGAATGCTGGGAGGAAGAAGGGAACGGGCATCCTCAGTACTCCCCCAGCCACTTAGGGTCCAAAGCCATGCTTACCCAGGTCCACCAGAAGCAGATTGCCCGTAGTAGATCCCAGGCAGTGAGACACAACAGAGGCTTTCCCAAAGATGCCCCCCGAACCAGCCAGCTGTGCAGTCACAACACATGTCCAGCCAGGACTTGGGCTGACCACCTTTAGAGGCAGATGACAGAACCCAGTCCACACCAGTCTGTACTGGCACCATGTCAGAGCAGAAGTAACAACACAAGCTATAAAGGGGGAGGTAGGCTAAGGGTCTGAGGACAGGAAGAAACTGACCCTAGGGCTGCCAGGTCAGAGCACAGGCTGTGTCAGGATTTTTCTTTCTTTTTCCCCCCTTTTCTTCTTGGCACGTAATAGATTAGTCGTACAGAACAATGGGTTCCATTGTGGCTTTGTCCTATCTGTGTATCAAGGGCTTTGATCAGCCAGGAGTCCCGAACTAGGGGAACACACCCAGTGCACTTGGGGAGAACTTTAGCATTTGGGGGTTCTGTTTGTCTGGTCTCTACTCCTGATTTCTAATTTCTAAGGAAGTTTCATCTTTAAAAAAAAAAATACGAGGTCTGCCTCTGTAGCCTTGGCTGGCCTGGAACTCACAGAGATCCACCTGCCTCTGCCTCCTGAACAACCAAGCTTAGCAAAAATATGCATTCTCAAGAATCCCCTCCCCTCAAGGGTGCTAATGAACACCCTGTCCAGGTCTCTACCACACAGTAGCTCTCCTATAAGATAGATACAAATAACCAGTAACTTAATTCTGGTTAGCTGAACTGTGTGGGTTCACCAGTCAGAACCTAGACACCTATGATACTTCCTCATTAACCCAGATTGTACAATTTGAAGAATATTTCTATTCAACTACTTTGGAGGGGGGAGGAATATCAATCACACTTCTGTCCTTGAACAAATCTCTTGTTTATCTGCAAGTCACAGAAATAAAGAATGTTGATCAGGAAAAAGCAAGCAGAAATACTCGTAGTTCTAACAGCTCTGCCAAGTCCTAGCAATCTCTCCATCAGAAAGAAAAGGAAGGACCATCTTCCAGATGGACATCGTGTTTCCTCACCCTGCTCTGGAGACCTCCCCGCCTCCAGACTGCGATTCACCAATAGGCTCTCAACACTCACAACATCACACATCTTTCTCCCTCCGAGGAGTAAGGAAATGAGATATCCTTGGCCTCACAAACAGCAGCAAGGCAGAGTGACGTCTCCTGGTGACAAGTGTAGGGCACAGAAGTAAGAGAGTTTGAGTCCATACCTGCACCACAGGGTGGCCTCCTGTTGGGGCTTTGACAGCACCACGGCTGCCCTCCGTCTCATAGTGGGCCCGGTGATGGGGCTTGGGCTGGACCTCGATCCGCAGCTCATAGGAGCCTGACTGATTGGAGAGTGGCCACTCTAGTGGAGGAAGGGATGCAGTCACAGGGATGCTGCAGGGAAAACAGACTGGGTCACAAGAATGTACAGTCTAATCAGTCCATCTGTACACTAAATATAAATGGCCCCCTTTCTGGAAACTGTGCCTAGGGGTGGAAGAATAAAATGCTGAGGGCCAGAAATTGCTTAGTCACAATGAGGGAGGTCTTCACAAGCCAGAGGACCTCTGCTTACTCTCGTTCTCATCTAATGAAGACAGCGTAGCTGGCTTCCTGGGGGATGAAGCTAATTTCAGTTTGTGTTGGTTCCTGATGTTTCCAATGACTGTTATGGCTTCTCCTCTAGGAATCATGGAAAACCCAACATTAACCTCTCAAAACATCCCTCTGCCAGAACACTTCCTTTTCCAAAGGGCAAAGGGCATGTCACCGCTTCATCACAGGCTTAAGTACTTCTCTCTTAAGTATAGTCTGCTACAGTCAAGTGGCAAACAGATCAGCAGATAGTGAGAGTTTCTATATTTGATTATCTTGATTAGCAGTGCATTTGGGGGTGAGTTCAGGTTCACTCACAAACACTAATTGATGAGCCACTGAGCAATGGGTTCTAGAAGCCAAGAGAGGAATCTAGCTTGGGTATGCATGAACCAAACCACGTGAACCCAATGTGAAGTGAAAAGGGACAATCAATATCTTGACTAGGGTTCCATACCCAAGTTCAAATTCCAGCTCCAACACCTACTCCCCTATAACTCCCTAGACCTCAGTTTTCCTCAACTGTGAAGTGGGCATACTGAAATCCTATGAGGATCATAGTATCAGAGTAGTCAATGACCATTAGCACTAATGGTTTTCCTTGAAAAATGCACATGCGTGTATAGGCATACACACCATACACATACATATACATGCATGTACACACATGTACATGCATATACACATGTACATGTGCACACACTATACCATATACAGAGATATACATATACACATACCACACATATCCTTATACACACAGGTACATACTCACACACACCACACACACACATGGACATGTACACAATGCACACAGACACCCATGCCACACACATGCACAGACACATACCACATATATACATATGTACACATGTGCATACACACACCACCACACATGTATGTACATGGACATATAAATACACATGCCATGCTCATATATACATACATACCACCTGTACATGGGGTACACATACACATTATATATACATATATATCACATGTACAGAAACATATACCATACCATACACATACACACACATATATACTATACATGCACACCAAAACACACATACATGCACACATCACACACATACACATCATTTTCTATGGACTCTCTGATTTGGCTGTGGTGTCACATACAGAGATCAAACTTGAGGGCAGGCCTTAAGTTTCATTTTCCTGGAGTCTCAACACTGACCAGTATATACAATAGCTACTCGACATGGCTTAGAATTATGTTGTTAAAGTGTCAACCAAGGTCTTGAAATTCTGCCCAAAACCGTCCTTCTGTGCCTCAGAAAACATAAAATGTTACCTAAGATCACAGAGTGAGACACAGATTGGGCTCCGACTCAAGTCCCCTGGCTCCAAGCCTAGGATGGCTCGCATCTCCACACTGCTCTTGTCTTACCCACTTCTAAATGTGCCTGAGAAAGTCTCCATGGAGTGACTTAGAGCCAGCCTGACATTGGGTAGGATCTCAGAAAATATTAAATGGGAAGGTGAGATAGATGTCAGGGTGGCTGGATGGATGGATAGGTTGGTGGATGGATGGAGAGGTGGATGGATGGACAGACGGACAGATGGACGGATGGAGAGGTCGGTGGATGATGAGATGGATGGATGGATAGAGAAATGGATGGATGGATGGATGGATGGATGGATGGAGAGGTCGGTGGATGGATGGATGGATGGATGGGTGGATGGATGGGTGGGTAGGCAGTTTCATTTCAAAGACTGACACATTCAAAGGTTCTCTGAAATGGCACACGCATGGGTTCTGAGGACACACCCTGATGTGCACTTACATCTTTCCCGCTCAGGGCAGCCTGTGAGGCGCTGACAAGCACAGCCAGGTTTCACCCACTCAATTCAATGCAATGCTCTATCAGGGAAGTTTCCGTTTGCTAAAGCAAGTACTGTGTGGGTAGCACAAGGGTGATGGTGACAGCTAGGCCATCTGCGCTTCAGCTGTCACAGAGGGCAGAGAGAAAAGGAAGCACATGTCCCCCTCAGTCACCTCTTTCTCCTCAGCACCCAAATAAACTTTTTAAAATGCCAAATAACACCAAGCCAGGTTCACACGAGGAAGAAAAGGGATGCTACACAGAGTTCTGCTGGCACATAGCAGGCCTCCTTGGACATTGGTGGTTACCGATGTCATCATTGCCACTCCATGAGATTAATCTCCTGGCACATGCCTGTCAGCAAAGAAGTCCATCCTAAAGGTCCCCTCATCAGCAGAGAAGTCCGTCAAAGCTAAAGGTCCCCTCAGCAGCAGAGAAGTCCGTCAAAGCTAAAGGTCCCCTCATCAGCAGAGAAGCCCTTTCTAAAGGTTCCCTGTAAAAACTCGAGAGTCAACTTGAGCTCTGGAATCCCCCAAGAGACAGGCCACTAGGTGTGCCCAGGTGATCTTGATGAGATTAAGGTGGGAAGATTCACCCACTGTGAGAGGCACCACTCCTAGGCTGGGATCCTGAACTGTATAAAAAGGAAAAAGCACGTTGAACACAAACATCTGTCTCTCTCTGCTTCCTGACTGTAGTTTTTTATGTGCCTTGATCAGCAGCTTCAAGCTCTTCCCACTTTCACTTTCCCACCGCAATGGGCGGCACCCTCAACCTGTGGGCCAGAGTAGACCCTTAAGTTGCCTTTGTTGGGGTGTCTTAGGGCAGCAGCGGGGAAAGAACACGATGACAGCAACTGTCCCTCTTCGGAGTGCTCACTCTGAACAGGCTCTAAGCCAGGACACTGAAGTGTGTTGTTTTATCTAATTCTTAAAAACAGTCACTATGAGGTAGGCGCTACTATTATCCTTATCTCTCAGGAAATGAACAAAGTCCCAAAGAAGGGCTCAGTAAACGGGGCTGGGGTGGGGAATCCTGATTGATTAGTGATGCCTGCTCTGGGAACAGTCGAATTATAATTGTTTATCAGTGTCTGTCACAGGCACAGCAGACGGTAGCACAACGCTCACACACACACACACACACACACACACACACACACACAGAGGCAATGGGCAATGGGTGGCAGAGCCAGGACACACATTCAGTCCTCACATGTCCTCACACGTCCCAAAGCCTCTGCCCCTGTGAGCCACACTCATTGCTTTGGCCTGCCTGGTTTTTAAGCTATTTGAGGATTGAGCCCTGTGCGATTTATTGTTCTTTGGGGCTCCTCGTCTCTGAGGAAAATGCAAAGGCAACACAGATGTCCTTACACATAGCTCCTCTGAGAATAAGGAAGGGGTGTTCCACACTGGGGTCCACACTGCTCTATGAGGGAATCCAGCACATAGTAGGGACTTTATACGTACTTACTGAGTGAAAACGATGTGCCCTAGGGGACAGCCATCAAGCACTTAGTACAATAAACCCCACAACCACCTGCTGTAGCAGAGACACCCATGGGCAAACTGAAGCTTAGGGAAGTTAACGTCCTTCTCGGTACTTACAGCCAGCAAGTGTCTAAGCCAGGATTTAAATGAAACCCGTGTGACTAAATTCCATGTAAATATCAAGAAAGCCAACAATTAGAGGGCGCTTGGGCACACACTGTTCTCAAAGCCCCACTCACCTGCAGATGGGAATGGCTGGCACCAGCTGCTTGGGCCAGCTGGGTGGTACCAGCAGGATGGACTCAGGAGCGGAATTCCTCCTTTCCTCCTGCTCACATGGCCCCAGGAACTCCACAGTTGGGTAGATGTGACGGGCCAGGCCCGCCTTGGACGGGGCGGTGGACACGGGAGTCGGGTCAGGACTGGTCTTCCATATCTTGGAGGGGATCCCGCAGGGCGAGTCAGTGGCCAGGCTGTTGAGGGCTTCCATGAGAACACCAGAGCCAGCCGTGGGAGGGTACCCAGCGGACTCAGCGGAGATGCCGTCGTCCTGGGGTGCCACGTGAGGCGAGGGCTGTGGCGAGGGGCTCCGGGAGCGCTGGGGTGAGGATGTGGGCAGAGGGGCAACCAAGGCCTCTGCGCACGAATGCCTCCGCTTGGCACCGGGTGAGGAGGAGCGGGATGCCGGACGGGGCACGGGCGAGTGTCGGCCCAGGCAGCTGTCCTCGGCGGCGTGGCTGGTTCGAGGTGACATTATTGGAGAGGTTCTGGGGGAATAATGAGTAGGGATGTTTTGAAACTGGAGACACACATCGTCGGTCCCGGCGTTATTGGGCGAGACGCAGGGCGAGGTGTAGGGGGAGAAGGTGTCAGAAATGAAGCTGGCAGAGGAGCCGCTGCTAGCGGGGCTCAAGCAAAGCGGCTCGCGGTAGGCCTCAAAGCCGGGCACGGGCAGTGTGAACCTCGGGCTGGCAGCCATGCCGGCCAGGGCCAGGGCCGGCTGCTCGGAGGGTAAGCCGGCATCTCTCCCACGGAGGGCCCCCCCTGCCTGCATCAGTTCGTGGGATGGAGTGATCTCGATCCGAGGGCTCGGGCCCGAAGCCCCTGCTGGCTTGGCGGGACTCAGAAAGTTCTGGAACCCTATCCTATCCGGCTCTCCAAACCGGCTGGGGGGCTCGCCAGAGAAACTGGCGAGGGGGTTGACTGGCTTGAGGCCATAGTCCTGGACATCATCCGGGTATGCGATTCCAGAGGGTGAGCTGATGGCCTTATGTGCGTTCTGTTCTTCTGGAAAGAGAAGGGGGGAGGGGGGTCTTTAAGCCTCTAAAGCAGAACTGGGGTACAGAGTTACAGTCACGGGTGGGCATGGTCTTCTGTCACTAGCTGGTCTTAATACCCCACCATGGAAAACCCTGAGCTTGCCACAGGTAAAATGAAGCCTCTGTGTCCCAAATTCCCTCAGGAGAGTCCAGAATGACAGGCCCCATGACACCAACTGTGTAGCTGGCTGGAGTGTGGACAACAAACTGGCCTAGCAGCCAGCGTCCACGGTCAGACCTCAGATCACCCCTCAGAAGTGCATTTTAGGGGCTGGAGAGCTGGTTCACTTGCAAACTACCAGCCACGAGAGTATGAGAACCCAAGTTTGATCCCTAGACCCTACATAAAGTCAAGCATGGCAGTGCACGTCTGTAACCCCAGCACTAGAGAGGCAGACATGGGGATCCCCAGAGCTCAGTGGCCCAGTAGTGCAGCCAAATCAACAAACTCCAGGGGGAGACCCTGTCATAAGAAATAAGGAGACCATTTGAGGAAGACATCAATATCTGGCCTCCATATGCATGTACACATATGTACGGGCACACCCATGTACACCGTGCACACCTGCATGAATGTGTCTCTGCACACAGGCACAGTGAACATTGTTAAAGTGAATTTAGTATCTCCCATTGCTCACAGCAGCACAGACCCACAGCTGAACCAGGGCTGCAATGACCTCGTCATGTCACATGTATGATACGGCAAGACATGTATAATGCAGAAGGCAACAGGGCCTCTAGGGTCCATGGAGTCTATGTCTGAGATGTCCACACCCAAGTGCGAGAGGCTTTTTAGAACCAGGGTTCCCTGCTCTTTCATATCCCTTTATAGATGTGGCCCAGGAGGGGACAAGAGTCCCCAAAGACATGGAATTTGAAGACTCACAATTCCTTCAGAGGAGCCCCTTGAACCCTAAAAGTCAGGATCACAGCTACAGGGTCCCCAAACTGTTAATAGGAGGGAATACAGAGCGACCTAAACACCTCTTTCGCATCAGGAGCCATCTTGGGTTTCTCTGTCCCATCTCAAGGGCCCACCACTGATGAGAGTGTCACTCCAGCAGAACACATTACCCAGTCACCTCACTCTGTCCCTTGATGTCCAAGCCTGACCCCCTACATTCTTTGCTAGGGAATTCTGCAGAGCCACCAAGAGATGGCAGTCCCCACCGCCCCTCATTGACTCTTCCCCCAAGCCTCCCCCTTCTCCATCAGTAACGGGGGCAGCCTTGGCTCCTCCACTCTCATGCCTTCTAACTCAGCCACCAACAAACCCTGACCTCTGACCTGCCAACACACAGCCTCAGTATTCCTGGTAACGCACGTCCATCTTGAGCCAAGCCCCCTCTTCTACCTCAGTCTCACCAAGTCCCCTCTGTCCAATATCCACTCTAGAAACTGCCCTTCAGTGTTTCCTCTGGCCCTTTAGATAGGGCCTCAGGTCATCATGGGCCAGTCTGTCCCTGTCACCAGCCGGTCTCATCACTCCACCTGTGCCCAATGCCCCCCAAACAGCTCAGCACCGGCCCCACTGACCTCTTTTCCAGAACTAGCCGCTCAGAGTCCTTGAGAGAGCTGTCTCCTCTCCCTTCAAGATCTTCCTAGGAATGTTCCCCTTATTCTGTGTATCTGCTCTGCCGGCACCTCCACAGACTGCCCTCCTAAAGATCGTCTCCAGCCTCTTCTCCTTCGCACCCACTGCTGGCTCCCATCGCTTTGGATACATATGTGTTTAGTGAGCCTGTCCTGCTAAACCAGGGCCAAGCAAAACACACCCCAAGGGCCCACATTTTGTCTGCTGATAAAACCACCATGTCTATTCGCATAGGGCCTAGCTAGGGCTTGCCTCTTCACCGGAACAGCAGAGCTGAGAGTTTTGGCAGGGTCTATATGAACCACAAATCTTAAAATATTTACTCTCTGGCCCTTTATGGAAGTTGGTACTTCTCTTGACTCTAAGCTCTGCCGAGGTCGGGTCCACATCTTACTGTGGGTTAGTATTGTTTGCCTGGCACCCACCACTGCGCCTGGCACTTACAGGCCTCCACACATGTGCAAAGTGACTGAATACCTAAAAGAATCATGCCCAGGGTCCCACAAGCCAGGAGTCTCCTGCTCTGGGGAGCTAGGGTAGCCACCCTGGTGACTCTTGACATTTCTGGACCTTTTCTGGGCCACAACAGAGGGAGTGTATTCCAACTTAGCTGAACTGACCTCAGAATGCCCAGATGGTACTGCCATTCCAGGTGAGTGCTCCCATTCCAGATGAGTACTCCCATTCCAGATGAGTGCTCCCAAAGGGCTGTCCACCACTAATAACATGAGGACTTGGGCCAGCATGGTTGGGGTCTGTCTGTCCACCCTTAACCTCTCCTCTCTTGAGCTCCAGGCAAGGCAGGGTTTGGAAGAGACCACCTGCTTCCTTCTGGCCTTAGGACTTTGCAGTTTTCTGTTCCCTCTGTTTCAATAGCTCCATTCACCCATCTCTGTGGCACTAAAACCCACCCATTCCTGCAGGTTCTGCCACTGTCCCTATTCTCCCACAGCTCACTCTTCCCAGGGGTGCCCGCTCTAACCCCATATGTCTCCCAGTTCTGGGGAAGTAACTGTGGCATCAGCTACTGACCAGCAAGTCTGCCGGTCTCCTAATCAGAGATGCCATGAAGTACATCGAGCCTCTGCTTCATGGGAGCTGGGATAAGGTGGGCCCTCGGCAGAGAGGAAGGCATCCCCATAAAAGCCACCTGGGACACTGACGGCACTCCTTCAAAATGTCACTGCCCAACCCACGAGGCAGATGATGTCATCTCTAGGGAGGGGTGACTGAGTAGGTAACATCCATCAAAATCCCAGATGCATCCCAGAGTCCTTAACACCATTCTCAAAACTGTATCCTATGCAGACACTTCTATTTCTGGGAGAGGGATAAGGGGTAGGTTAGTGTCTGCAGCTCTGGGGCTGGGGGAGGCTCTGGCTCATCCCAACAGTGACCAGGAAAAGTCCCCCTGCACCAGACAGCAGTGACCACTGAGATTCAGTATCAAAGAAAGAGCAAGGTGAACATAAGGTGGGGAGGGGCACATCTGTGGCGGGTGGGCACGCACACGCAGAAGCCGGAGGAAGACATCAGGTGACCTGCTCTGTCACCCTCCACATTGTTCCCTTTGAGACAGGTTCTCCCACTGAACTTTGAACTCATCTGGTGGCCACCAAGCCCCAGTGATACTCCTATTTCTACCAAGCAGCACTGAGGTTGCAGGAGCGTGGAGCCATACCCCACTCTTTTATGTGGGTACTGGGATCTGAACTCCGGTCCTCACGCTTACCTACTGAGCCATCTCCCCAGCCCTGCAAAAAGGAAACTTTTTGATTTGTGTATTATGCGGAGAAAACAAACTTAAATTTCCCAAACATAATTAGCTTCTGTGGGGCAGGTGGCAGGGGTAGAGATGACATGGAACATAACACGTGACAGCGAAACTCTGCTGACACGGAGGGAAACAGAACCTAGCCCTGCTCTGCCACTGACTGGCTAGTGGCAGAAGAAAAGTCCCCACCCACTCCAGGCCCTGCGGCCTCGCTTAGAATGGGGGAAGAGCACATCTGACTCCCTCACGGCTTTGCTTTCTCTAGCTTGGGTCTGCAGGGCCAGAGTTCATGCAATGCACAGTCAGGGTGAAGGTGCATCTGAACCTGAACTGGCACTGCGTGTGCACATGCACACACCCCTTCCTGGCAGACAGCACACAGTACAGATGTCTAACCTATGGGCCAATTGGCATCAAATCCATGTTCAGCGATATTCTGATGAGCCCATTCCCTTCAAGCTGACCAAACCGGGAACTGTCCTGCACAGAGATCCCAAGTCATATTAGAATTCTCTGCCTCAAAAACACAGCTCAGGATACTGTGAACAATCCAGACACACATCATGGGGTATGGTAGTGCCCATAATCCTAGCGCTCGAAGGCTGAGACAGGAGAAATACTGTGAGTCCAGAGACAACCTGCTCTACAGAGTAGGATCTTGTCTCAAGAAACACACAGACACAGACACACACACGCACACACACACACGCATGTGCGCATACAGACACACACTGCCCAGGAGCTCCGAGGAGCAACTGGCTACGCTGAGCCTAGTATCGCAGTGTTTACACTGGTTTAATCCATCCTGGTGGCAATTTCCTTCCCGCCCCCCTTCTTTTCTCTCCCCAAGTCTATAAATGTTTAACAGCAAGCGCGGGCGTGAGGGTAATGAATAGCCTTTGCCTTCTCTGGGATTTGACAGCAAATCTCACAAATGGCAAGTCATTAACATCTTTCTGTGAGTAGCTGGGATCCCCACTCTTGGGTTCTTTGGAAACAGCCCATGTGCCTGGCTGGGTCTCACTGCTCTCTCCTGCCCAGCGCCCAGATGGAAGCCAGCGTATCTTAGAACCACACCTTGCTGCCAATTTTCTCAGGAGGGTTTCCGTAAACTTCTTTGCATGATCTTGGCTGTAGGTGGCATTGTCAATATGTATTATGTACTTACTATGTTTGCTCAACTCCACTCTGTTTTTAACACGTAGTGTGTGTGTGTGTGTGTGTGTGTGTGTGTGTGTGTGTGTGTGTGAATGTGCGTGCAGGTGTTTACAGAGGCCAGAAGGAGGGCATCAGAGCTCTCTGAAGCTGGAGTTAGAAATGGTTGTGAGCTAGCTGACATGAATGCTCTGAGCCTCTGAAAGAACAGCATGTGCTCTTAACCACTGAGCCATTTATCCAACTCCACGTCACAACTTTTATTTTGAAAGGAATGTTTGCACCATTCTGGGAGGCTGAGGCAGGGGCATCGCCTAGTTCAGGACCTGTCTCAACTACAGAATGAGTTCAAGGCAGGTATGGACAATTTAATGAGACCCTATGTCAAAATTAAAAGTGTAAAGAAGACTTGGGGGGGGCGGCTCAGGGATGGAGCACTTGCCCA